AGAATTTCCAATAATACGTTTATGACCTATTTCAGCCTGCGGTAGAGAGAAGAATAAACGAGCCACTATACGTTTAAACGGGGCTTAGATCACGAAGATAAACGGGTCCTTCCCTAGAGGACTGGCACAAGCGAAAGTCTGCAACTACACAAACACAATTTTGCAAATGTAGGATTCACCCAAATGTGCTTCAGACAGAGCGGTGAGAGCCATTTAAAAGAGGGTTTTAGTGGAAACACTTTAGAAAGCCCAGCACTGAATCCAAGGCCAGGTTAATTCCAGGTAAAGGCCCAAAGAAATTAAGAGACAGGCGTCCCACCCTATGCAGGCATTTCCAGGCAAGCAAAGGGGGCGAATATTTAATCGGCAGGTTTGGAGGTTCTCCCTGCACGCCAATTTTAAACTGATGTCCTGGAAAAATTCTCAGTAGCTGGAGGTTTTTCTCGGCAGCGAGCGTGTTTCCAGCTTGTCAGTTCCAAATCAATGAGATGCTACTGCGGAAGAAGCTAGCATACCAACCCTCAAATAAAATGCAGGTATGGAAGGAAGGAAGGACTTAACTCACAACAGGAAATCCCCAGCGACGGTCATAATTTTGGATTTAAGCGCAGGAAAAGGGGTACGTTCTCCAACTTGGTTCCCTATCGAAAGCAAATGGTTCTGCTACCTCGGATTTCACCCGGGGCCTAACAGGCCTCCCTTTATTCCTCCTGGTGGTTAAACTCAGACCCTCTGGAGATAAACCCGGCCAGCAGAAATTAAATCCCCCAGGCTGATTGCTTTTATGGGGCTTCTTTCCTTCTGCACCCGGCTGGGATAGAGGCGCGGAAGACAAGATTATGGCCCTCGGGGGGCAACACCCCAGTCCAAAGACTCTCAAACCCGGAAAGTCGTCCGAATGATTTTCACTGGGGTTTCCTTCCCCGAGGGCTTCGCGAGGACCACTCAGTCCTCCCTTCCTTCAGCGGCTTTGAGCTACCGAGCAGGTGCGCCGCTGCCCGCCGAGAAGGTCGGGGAGGGAGAAAGCAGAGGGCCGCTTCCTCGAAGAGTCGGCGCTGCCTTTATAAACAGAAACCTCGGAAAGTGCAGCAAAAAGTTCACCGGGATCTACCTCTGCCAGCCCTACGCTTTCTTCTTAACTGTGCTTTTTGGAGGGGGCGGGGGAGGGGTTCGCCGCCGCTTTTCCTGCGACAGGCTCGCGGGCGAATTACGAACGAGAAGCCGAAAGGGAACTTTTGAGAAAGCCTCGAGCGTTTCGATTGACCTCGAAACGAGGATTTATATTTACGCCTCCCCCCGCCCCCGGCGTCCCAAGACACACGTTCCTGTCCTGCACTGAGAAAAAGGAAGAGAAGCAAGCTCGGGGGCCCGGTCGCCCCAGACCGTCCGCAGCGGCACAGCTGGCCCTTCTGCAGTGTCAAAACACAACTACCCCGGAACCGTGACGTTGCTGCCCCCGCCCCAACGCCAGGACCCGCTCTCCAGCAGGCACAGCCCGCAGCGCCGAGCCCCTTCGCTCTTCCACATCCTGCTTCCGGAAGGCGACCGGGCAGTTATGAAAGAGGCGAAGGAAACCACGCACCTCGCCTAGTTTTGTTTTTTAACTTCCCTTCTTTCTGCTCTATGCCAGCAGTCCCGTCTCAGCTTAACATTTGGGGCCCTTCGCAACAAGTGGCCACTTCTTCCCGCCGCAAAAATCGCCAAACCTCCTTTCCACACCGAAAGAATTATCACCACCACCACCACCGTCATCATCATCACCATCATTATCAACAACACAACCTTTTATTGTAACCTTCTCCATCTACTACAAAGCCAGACCAGGAAAACTAGTAGCTATATGCATGTACCTTTGGTGAAGGAGTTCTAGTTTTATACGCTTATCATGTTCCAGGCCACATCAATTCCAGATGCTGTTTTTCTTTTCTTTTCATTAAAAAAAAATAACTAGCATTAAAATTACTCTTGAAAAACAGAAAGTGGAAAATTCCCTCATTTTGCAGCTTTTTATGCTATGAAATAATTTAATCCCACACCATACATATTGCTAAAACCTTGAACAGGTTGGATTCGTGTTTTGTTTTAAAAAAACAAGCAAGCAAGCAAGCAAATAAATAAACTGCATCCTACTTGTAAAAATAAATCAAAGACTCAAATGTAATTTCAGTGTCCATATTTCAAAAATTTATTTATCTCAAACTGTGTATAATGATGTAAAAACTGAGGTTGAATATGAACCTGTTTAAAAGGATGGTATTAGTTCAAATATATATGGGTATATATACATACTCTTGTGTGTGCTCATACATACACACATATGTATATATATATATATATGAAGGACTGTTGTCAGACTGATTTCAGATAATACACAGCCGAGTTTTAAAGTACAACTACTGGAAATGAGAAGGGGGGAAAAATAAAAGAACTTAAAATGTCATCACAATAAATTTACAGAAATATTACAAACCATAAGAAAATATTTCAAACACAGTTTTAGGTTGCTCTTTTGTTGTCCTTTTAGCCAAACAGGATAAAGTTTGGAAACAAAAAGGGCTTTTTTAAATTAACAAACGTATGTGGACCTGCAAGACAATGTTTGTTTGTTTTAACAATGTGTAAAAAAAAATTTAGTACACCCTAAACTGTTGCCCTTTGATTAAAACAAAAAACAAAAACAAAACAGTTCAGTGGTATGCAAGTACTTATTCTATTTATTTTTTGCCTTTTGTACAATTTGCTAAAACAATTAAAATGCCCAGATCTTTGTTTTAAAGTAAAATTCACCTCCTTATTTTTCTGTGTTGCTACTATAAATTCATCTGCAATCACTACAGCGTCATAAGCAGACTTTGTTGTATTTTAAAAATAATTGGCAAATGCTCAGGGTTTTTCCCCACTCTGTCTTCTTTTAATATAAACAATGGACTTTTCGATTGCCATGTTTGTTTTGATAAATACTATACAAAAGTTGCTTGCAAATATTAAAACATTTCCCACCCCCATTCCCTGGTCTTTCCCTCCTCTTTCCTACGTCTCTTTCTGGAGCCTAGTTCTAAAGAATATTGATAAAAACTTTTTTTTGTTTAAAAAAAAACTTTTTGCAAAGTACCATTTTCACTGGAACTTGAGCGGGGGAGAGAAATGTTTGTTGGGTCAAAACAAGTCGAGTGGATTTGATCCCTCTCAAAGAGGAGAGGAGGGGAAAATTGTACAAGTTCCTGGTTGGGTGGTGGTGGTGGTGGTGGTGGTGGTGGTGGTG